AAATAGGACTAGGGGTGACATGACAGCAGTTGCCACAAAGCAACCTAGAACTAAGGAGAAATGTAGAACAATTAATCGGTGGAACAGCCTGCCTCCAGAAGCTGTGAATGCTCCAATACTGGAGGTTTTAAAAAGAGACTGGACAGCCATTTGTCTGAAATGGTATAGTGTTTCCTGCCTGAGCAGGGGGCTGGACTAGAAGACCTACAAGGTCCTTTCCAACTTTATTATTATTATTATTATTATTATTATTATTATTATTATTATTATTATTATTATTATTATTATTATTATTATTATTATTATTATTATTATAATATTATTATTATTATTATATTATTATTATCATCATCATCATCATCATCATCATCATTATTATCATTATTATCATCATCATCAAATGTAGTAGTTATCCTTACATCCAGAGTTCCATCAAATGGGTTAGGGTCACTCAGCATTGATTGCCAAAATAGTGTTCGTGTCTCTCTTTCACCTGAACTCTTCCCACAATGCAGGGGAGTCAGAGTGGGAAATCTTTATCTCTTCTTTTAAATTTCGAGACCCTGGCACAGCTCTAGGCTCCTTTCCACAACTATCAATTACATATGAGTAGTAACAACTATAGCATAAAATAAGCAAATCACCAGAATGCACAAAACATGCCTAACATAAATAGATAAACATCCATCTTTTCTTGGAAAAGAATTTAACATCTAGGTTCAGAATTTCCAATCTTGTTTTGGCCTTGTTTAAGTTATAGTTGTCCTGCTGATGTAATGCTGGGAAACTAACACAGTGCAAATCCCCCTTTTTGTGAGTTTGTTTTCCCTTATGTAGCAAGCACAGCAGTGACTACCCATCAATTCAAGTCAAGTTGTTTATGCCTAGTAATGAGAAATATTCGGTAACATCTTGATAAAACTTTGGAAGCTACATATAGATAATGACCAATTATCCTCCAATCCCTGTTTATCCTTTTCGCTACTGGCTGCAGCCATGATCCATGGCAATGAAATTCAATTTTAACGCAAACATCTCCTCCTCATTGGTGCTAGTGATGCAACAAAAAAAAAAATTGCGCGAATCCGTGTGCCTGAAAGCTAGGAAGGCCAGTTAGGTGAAACTCTATTGAGAAGTTCAGTGCCACTTACTTGCATGGAAGTGTAGGATGATGGAAGGCACATTCATCTCCATTTTTGCAGGCAGGCCAGTATTTGCAGCGCTCGGGTACTTTCTCCATCTTCTGTAAGATGCCTATTTCTTCCATCTCTACTGTGAAGAATAGCCAAAGAAGCAAAGTTAGACATCTGGATTGTAGAAGAGAGCTTTGATCAAAACAACTATACAGTATAGATACACAGAATTTAGAAGGAAATTCAGAAAAGTGGAAATATCCACAAAGACAGAATACGTTTGCCACTAAGCAATTTGTATAACTCCCAAATTAATTGAACCAAGAACATCCACAATTGATTGAAAGATGGGCAGCTATATACATGCTATAAATTCATTCAGTCAGTCAGTCAGTCATTCTAGGGTTACATAGGCTTCAGATATATTTTCACCACAAATCCTTACTTCACCGTCAAACAGCAACCAAATTTTATTTCAGAACTGGCTGAAAGATATTTCAACAACTAAAGCAGAAATTCAAAATAAAATCTTCATGTTTATTAATTAACTGGTCCTTCCCATCCTTTTTACAGAATCCCTAAACTACTACTAAGAATGACTAATGAAATGTGCTTTATGCGCAGAGCCAATATTGTAATTCATATTTGTTGCTGTAGATTCTTTTATATTCAGAGTATGATAAATGCTGCTTCATCAAAATGGCCAATTACATGTTAGTCTGTTTTTTAGAAATTCATGATGAAAGTATAAGTATCAAAGACAATGGAATGTTGTTTCTTTATTACCTGCAGTTCCTCATAGCACTGGTGGTAGAAACAGTAGAATGGAGGATAAAGAATGTCAGTAATTGGTTAAACCTTAATTATTACTGTTATACTCAAATATTTCATAAACTTCATTCTCTAGAATTGTCTGAAAGCCACATCAAATAGAATCTTTATTGCATACTTTCTGTTCCAAAGACTCTGAGAAGCTAAGAAGTAGCAACATAATATTAAAACCTTTAAAGTAGTCTCCCTGAACAACCGTCTGTTCAGTAACTGTTCAAAGTTATGATGGCCCTGAACAAATGGTACTTCCACCCCAGTCCTTGAAGATGTGACTGTTGCAGCATCCCCACAGTTACATGACAAAAATTTGGGGGCTTGGGTAGTCAGCTTTAATTTACAACTGCCAGGTGTACTTCAACTTCTCCCCAGTTATCTTCCCCCTCCCCAATTCTGTCCTTTTAGCAGCCCTGCAGTCTGTCACCCCTGCTGACCTGCCTAGCACCATTCCTGCAGCCCTTGCCACCTGGAGCTCCATCATCCCCAGCAGACCTTCTCCATCTTCTTCCTCCATTTCTTGAGCAGGCATGCCTGGCCTAGCCCTTGACAAGGCAGCTGCTGGCCCCATAAGGCCTTCTTCCCAAAGCCCCATGAAGCCTTCCTAAGGCCCCATGAAGCCTTCTGATGCCTTGAAAGAAAGCCTCACATGACCAGCAGCTGCTTTGCCAGACCAGACCACACCAGACACACCTCTTTAGCAGTGGAGGAAGAAGACAAGAGTCAGTTGGGAATGGTGGAGTGCAGGGTAACAGAGGTGAAAGGGGCAGTGGAAACCAGGCTAGTAGAGGCAGTAGGGCACAGGGCAACAAATACGGCAGCAGGGCAGTGGAACATAGAATGGCCAAAAGGGCAGGGATGGGGGGATATGTGGGGGAATTGAAGCAGAGAAAGGCAGGAGAGGCA